TTATTACTCTTTTTTATTTATTTATTTATTTTTTAATTTTTTTTGGGTCCGGTCGTGGGGCCTGAACTCTAGGCCTGGGCACTGTCCCTCAGCTCTTCAGCTCAAGGCTAGTGCTCTACCACTTGAGCCACAGCACCACTTCCGGCTTTTTTCTTTTTGCTTATTACTCTTTTTTAATCCCTTACCTCTACCTTCTTAAACCATTTTCAGGGATTTCATTATTCTGATTTTGATCCATGAGTATGAAGTATTTTGATATAGTCATTCTGACTCAGTATATTTCTGTATAGGTGAACTTACAACATAAGTCTAGCAAGAAAGAACTGGAAACTTTTATTTTTATTTTTTAAATTTTTGTTGGTTGGTCATGGGACTTGAACTCTGGGCCTGGGCACTGTCCCTTTAGCTCTTTAGCCCAAGGCTAGCACTCTACCACTTGAACCACAGTGCTGCCTCCAGCTTTTCCTGTTTATGTAATGCTAAGGAATCAAATCCAGGGACTCCTGCATATGAGGCAAGCACTCTATCACTGAGCCACCTTCCCAGCCCGAAACTTTTATTTTTAATTTATACTATGAGACAAGGAAAGAACAAGGAATACCTCTAGGAATATCTTGCTGAGTAGGAAACACTGTAATAGTACTGTCATTTTATAGTTTATTGTTCTTCAGCCAAGAAGCAAGCTATAGACAGAAAATGTTTGCTTCTATTGCTTTTAACAGGGTGGGTTTTCCAGATAATAATCTGGAATTGGGTTAACTAAATGATTTAACATAAGGATTTAACATAAGGAGCTCTTGAGTGCTGCTATACTTTTTAGTACAAACTAAATGTGCTTTTAGCTCATGCTCTCTGTTAATATAAAGATATTTGAAAAAATTTCAGGGCTGCGAATGTGGCTTACTGGTAGAGTGCTTGCCTAGCATGCATGAAGCTCTGGGTTTTATTCCTCAGTACCACATAATCAGAAAAAGCCAAAAGTGGCACTGGGGCTCAAATGGTAGAGTGCTAGCCTTGAGCAAAAGAAGCTCATGGACAGTGCCTAGGCCCTGAGTTCAAGCCTCAAGACTGGCACACATACATAAAAAGAAAGAATTTCATAGCCAGGTGCTGGTGGCTCACACCTGTAACCCTAGCTACTCAAGAGACTGATCTGAGGTTGAAACCAGCCTGGACAGGAAAGTCTATGAGACTCTTAACTCCAATTAACTACTAAAAAGCCAGAAATGGAGCAGGGACTCAAGTAGTAGAATACTAGCCTTGAGTCGTTCCCCCCCCCAAAAAAAAAAAAAAAGCTCAAGGACAGGACCCAAGTTCTAGCCCCAGGACTGATACACACAAAACAGCCAGAAGTAGAGCTGGGCCTCAGGTGGTAGAGTGTCAGCTTTGAGTGGAAAAAGCTGAGACAGTGCCCAGGCCCTGAGACCAGAACTGGTGCATTGTGCATGCTTGTGCATGTACACACATCTACATCTAATTTTTTAACAATTTAGATTTAATTTCCCCTACTACTTTTTTTTAACCAAATAAGCATTATCTTATGTGTTTGTTTGGTTTTTTTCTAGAATGCTTAGTTTATTGGTTAGCACATTACAGTTTTAATGCCTCTTAGCCTGTCCAAGTAAGACTGAGATTGAACAGTTTATGTTAGTTACTTAGTTCCATTTCTGAGGTTTCCCATGTCTTTGAAAGCTTTTTCATTAGCATATATTAAATGGAATATTATGAATGTTCTAAAACATCTTCAGTTCTCATTGATACTATATTATTATTGTTATTGTTGTTATTATTTTATTTATTTATTTTTGCCAGTCCTGGGCTTGAATTCAGAGCCTGGGGTGTCCCCCCAGCCTCTCTGTGCTCAAGGCTAGCGCTCTACCACTGGACCCACAGCACTACTTCTAGCTTTTTCTGTTTATGTGGTACTGAGGAATCAAACCCAGAGTTTCATGCATGCTAAGGCAAACACTCCACCACTAAGCCACATTCCCAGTCTGTTGAGGAAGAAGAGGAATACTAGGTTTTGAACTCAGGACTCTGTGCTTGGCAGACACTGTTCACTTGAGCCATGATTCCATACCTTTTTGTTCTGTTAATTTTGAGATAAGGTCTCACTTCTCCTCCACCATAGCTAGGTCATGTTACCAAACACAGCTATTGATTGAGATGAGGGCCTCAGGAACTTTTTGCCTAGACAGGCTCAAAATTCTATCCTGCCAATTTTCTTCACCTCTCAAATAGCTAGGATTATAGGCATGAACCCTCAGCAGCTAGAAAGTACTGTCTTAATTAAAATCACAATTCTTAAAAAAACCAATATCATGACTGCGAACATGATTCAGTGGTGGAGTGCTTGTCTCGCGTGCATAAGGCCCTGGGTTACATTCTTCAGCACCACATAAACAGAAGCTGGAAGTGGCACTGTAGCTCAAGTGGTAGAGTGCTAGCTTTGAACTGAAGAGCTGAGAGACAGTGCCCAGGACCAGAGTTCAAGCCCCACAACTGACAAAAAACAACAAGAACAACAACAAACCGGTATCATGTGTTCACCCTATTAGCACTCTTGGGGTTCTTCCAGCGTTTACTTCCTCATTGAGGGAAAATTATGCCAGAAGTTTTGTTTTCTCTTTAAAAAAAATGTACTCAGTTGTTCCCATCAGATTCAGTGCATTTAGTGTTATTAGAATTATTTGAGATCTAAGATGCCTTAAGGCATGTAACTAGGAAGAAACAAGTCACTGTCCTATGTCATCTTCATCAGTTGTACTTTAGTAACCAGAATCTGGTTTACCTAAGTCTTTTGACACTGAAGCCTATCAGATCAGCAATCATTACTGTAGTTAGTTACTCTGATAGTAAAGTTTATATAAATCCAACCTTGTTCAAATTTCCCAAGATTACTGTCAACCTAGCAAAGGTTAGATTTGGCAACTGCCAAATATTTAAAAGCATTAACACTTATGGACTGTATATTTGCACACACAAAAAAATGTACCAACCTTGATGGTGATCGAGAGCCCTCTGTGAGTGAAAAGGCTTTAGTAAGAGTTTCAGACCCTGAGGTTGAAGCTCCAGTGCCAACACCCAAAAAAAAAAAGTATAGGTGTTACACACCTATAGTCCCAGCATTCAGTAGGCTCAATTAGAATGGAATGATTGTAAGTTCAAGGCCATGCTAGGGTACAAAAAGACCCTGTCTCAAACAAAGCAGCATAAAAAACCTGAAGTATTGCCGGGCCCCAGTGGCTCATGCCTGTAATCCTAGTTACTCAGGAGGCTGAGATCTGAGGATTACAGTTCAAAGCCAGCCCAGGCAGGAAAGTCATGAGATTTTTTTGGGGGGGGGGAGGGGTCTGTTCGTGGGGCCTGAACTCTGGGCCTGGGTGCTGTCCCTAAGCTCTTCAGCTCAAGGCTAGCACTCTACCACTTGAGCCACAGCGTCACTTCCGGCTTTTTTCTTTTTGCTTAAGTGGTGCTAAGGAATCGAACCCAGGGCCTCAAGCATGCAAGGCAAGCACTCTACCGCTGAGCCACCTTCCCAGCCCAGTCCATGAGATTTTTATCTCCAATAAACCACTTGCCTTGAGCTGAAGAGTTCAGGGACAGCACCCAGGTCCAAAGTTCAAGCCCTACCACAGACAAAAAAATCCTTCAGTATTTCTTTTTTTTTTTTTGGCGGTTATGGAACTCTGGACCTGAGGGCTGTCCCTGCACTCTTCAGCTCAAGGCTAAGTGCTCTACCACTTGAGCTACAGCGTCACTTCCAGTTTTTTGGTGGTTTATTGGAGATAACTTTCACAGACTTTCCTGCCCTGGCTGGCTTTGAACTGCGATCCTCAGATCTCAGCCTCCTAAGTAGCTAGGATTACAGGCGTGAACCACCAGCACCAGGCTAATCCTGCAGTATTAAAAGGAGACAATTTTTAATGGGTGTGTTATACCCTTCTTCCCCCAGAAGGCATTATTTGCTCCAATATGAAATACAGTATGTATTCCTTAATGTATCTTTATAAAATAGCAGTTCTACTTTAATTTCAGGACAGTTATTCCACATAACTCTTTTTTTCTTCCCCTCTAGACTTCTCCAGAGAACCCTGGGACAGTAGGTGGAGTGCAGCTCTATTGTGTTGCTTTCCTGCGTTTTTGTTGTTGTTGTTGCCTTCCTGCTTTTATTTTATTTTGTTAAAAATAAGTTTTTGGCCCTGCCTTGGCTGCTCCTTTTCTCTTCTACTTGAAACTAAGCCCTGCATGTGCTGTCATTATCTAAGGGGCCGTGGCCTTTCATTTCAGTCCTGTAGATGTATCTTGTCAATTATGTTTCATGTCAAGTCCTTAGTGTCAGGATTATCCCTAAAGCAATACCATGATAGACAGACTAGAATCTCAGTTCTGTCTGTTCTTCAGAACATTTTCTTCCATTTTAAAACATGCTCTTTCTACTGCAACCATGTACCTCACTTCAGTCACCTTCCATTGTGCCAAGACTATCTAAGCTTCTTTTTACGAAGGCTGAAAATCTGATAAATAGATGCAAGTAAGGTGAAGAGTTGCTCATCCCTGAACTATCTAAATCCTGAAAAAGTCAGGAGAAGGTAATATTTAACAGAATAAGGCCTCACTAATGGTGGAATTCCTTGCTTCAGTGATCAGAGAACTCATGTATATAGAGAAGATACCCACCTTCTGTGTGTGCATGTATATATGTGAGTGTGTGTGTGTGTGTGTGTGTGTGTGTGTGTGTGTGTGTGTGTGTGTGTACACTTTTGAACAATATTGTCCTGGACCAATACATTTTGTTCTAAAATGATGTGTTTGTTTTTATTTCTTTAGTAATTTGTCTGATACAGATTTTGTTGTTTGATCTATGTAATGTTAAGGAGTCTGTCTGCATGTTTGTTTATCATTGCCCTGATCCCTTCCAACTACCACAGGAAGAGAGGGGAAGGACTGTTTTAGAGATTATGCTGAAGTAATAAGTTGTTGCCTTCTCTCTGTAACAGAAGAAGCAGACCAGCATACTGGAGATCTAGGCATGGTCATGGACAGTGTGGAAGCTGGAGACACAACACCTCCGACCAAAAGAAAAAGCAAGTTCTCAGGCTTTGGCAAAATCTTCAAGCCCTGGAAATGGAGGAAAAAAAAAAGTAGTGATAAATTCAAAGAGACATCAGAAGGTGAGAGAGGGGGCTGGGAATGTGGCTTCGTGGTAGAGTGCTTGCCTAGCAAGCATGAGGCCCTGAGTTCTATTCCTTGGTACCACATAAACAATAAATAAAATTAATAAAATAAAAGGAAAAATAATTTTTTTAAAAAAGGTGAGAGCGTAATTTATGTATTCTGAGTTGTAGAATTTCCCTTTTTCTTTCTTTCTTTTCGGTTTCTTGGATTTTGAGACAAAATCTCATTACACAGTCCAGGCTAGCCTCAACCTTTCCAGCCTTGGGCTCCCAAACACTGAAATTATTGGCATGTCCCATCATGCCTGGCCCTACGGCTTTCTAACTTAGAAGCTCCTAACTTTTTCATAGTTTCTTTTTTTTTTTTTTGGGTCCGGTCGTGGGGCCTGAACTCTGGGCCTGGGCACTGTCCCTCAGCCCTTCAGCTCAAGGCTCGGGTTCTACCACTTGAGCCACAGCGCCACTTCCGGCTTTTTTTTTTTTTGCTTATGTGGTGCTGAGGAATCGAACCCAGGGCCTCAGGCATGCAAGGCAAGCACTCTACCACTGAGCCAACTTCCCAGCCCCTTTTTCATAGTTTCTGTGGAAGGGCTATACCTCCCTGTTTGGATCATTTAGTCTTTTAGAATTTAACCATACAAATGGTCATTCACTGACCCTTATATTCTATAGCCTCATTCCTAGGTTTGTCTTTTGAATGGCTGAGCTGGGAATAATGGTGCATGTCTATACTCTTAGCATTCTCTTCTACTGCCTGTACTCAAGAGGCAAAGACAAGAGAATCTTAAAGACTGGGCTACTACTAGTGATGAAACCCTGTCTCAAAAACAAAAAAACACTAACAGTGACTAATCTGTTCAGTGGTGCAATGGCCATCTTACACTGAGAAAATAACATCTAAAGTACTGGAAATGGAAGTGTGTCTCAAGCAGTAGACTGCCAGCCTTGAATGAAAAAGCCAACTCAGAGCTGTGAGGCCCTGAGTTCAAGCCACAGTATAGGCACCAAAATAATAATACTAATAGGGTTGGGACGGTGGCTCAGTGGTAGACCGCCTGCCTTGCCTGCATGAGGCCCTGGGTTCGATTCCTCAGCACCACATAAGCAAAAAGAAAAAAGCTGGAAGTGGCACTGTGGCTCAAGTGGTAGAGCACTAGCCTTGAGCTGAAGAGCTGAGAGAGAGTGCCCAGGCCCAGAGTTCAGGCCCCAGGACCAACCAAAAAAATAAATAAATAAAAATAAAAAATAATAATAATGAAGCCTAAAGTGCTTCTTTTCTACTTTGCCCACTTCCTATCAATACAGACTTTATCCATAAAAACCTTATTATTAAAATTTCAATTGGGTTACCTTATAAAAGGATTCTTCCTTTTAGAAATGATATTTCCGGCTGGGAAGTTGGCTCAGTGGTAGAGCGCTTGCCTTGCATGCCTGAGGCCCTGGGTTCGATTCCTCAGTACCACATAAGCAAAAAAGAAAAAAGCCGGAAGTGGTGCTGTGGCTCAAGTGGTAGAGTGCTAGCCTTGAGCTGAAGAGCTGAGGGACAGTGCCCAGGCCCAGAGTTCAGGCCCCACGACCGGACCCAAAAACAAACAAAAAAAAAAAAAAAAAAGAAAGAAATGATATTTCCCCAATAGAATAGTGTATAAAAGAAATTAAAGTCTTGTTTTTTGTTTTTAATGATGGGAGTAGAACCCAGGGTGTCACATATACTAGGCAAGGATTCTACCCCAGGCCCAGAAATTAATTTTTTTAATTGGAAATTAACTTTTGTTTAGTTCCTGTCCTAAGAATGAAGAAATTTGAATAAATTTTTCTCTACCTATGGATTTAGAATGCTGAGTAATGTTGACATTTCAAGTACTGTATTTCTGAGTGGTGTTTTTCAACTCAATGTTAGTTTTAGAGCGAAAAATATCTATGCGAAAACCAAGAGAAGAGTTGGTTAAGAGAGGAGTTCTCCTGGAAGATCCTGAGCAAGGTAAGTTTCAAATGAATATCATATGACTTTCTGTGTATTTAGTCTTTAATTGAACCTAAATAGGTATTTAAATTTTCTTTCTGTTATTTCTATAGTTAGGCTGTAGTTTCCTGGCTGAATGCCAGTGGCTCACATGTGTAATCCTAGCTACTCAGGAGGCTGAGATCTGAGGATCACAGTTCAGAACCAGCCAGGACAAGAAAGTTCATGAGTCTTTTAGCTCCAATTAACCACCAGAAAATTGGAAGTGGCCCTGTATCTCAAAGTGGTAGAGCTCTAGCCTTGAGCTGAAGAGCTCAGGGACAGGGCCCAGGCCCTGAGTTCAAGCCCCATGAATGACAAAAAAATAAGTTTCCTGTACCTTCTTAAGTGTCTTCCTTAGGTGTTTTTTTTGTTTGTTTGTTGTCAGTCGTGGGGCTTGAACTCTGAGCTTGGGCGCTGTTCCTGCACTCTTCAGCTCAAGGCCAGTGCTCTACCACTTGAGCTACAGTGCCACTTCTGGTTTTCTAGTGGTTTATTAGAGATAGGAGTCTCACGATCTTTCCTGTCCGGGCTGGGTTTGAACCAAGATCCTCAGATCTCAGCCTCCTGAGTAGCTAGGATTACAGGCGTGAGCCACCGGCGCCCAGCTGCCTTAGGTTTTTAACTCTGAAATTAGAGTGATTAGTGAAAGATACTTGGGGCAACAATTCCTTGTATCTGTATATCCTCAGCTTTGTGCCACCTTCAGCAGTTGTTATTACTTTCTTCTTTTGATCACATTTGTCTCCCTGCTTTTATTATTGCACTTATCTTTCTCTTGCTAAGAGGATAGCTTGAGATTTCAATATTTGTGCTGGTTTAGTAGTTGTTCTTTTTTTTTTTTTTTGTGATCAGTTGTGAGGCTTGAACTCAGGGCCTGGGCACTGTCCCTGAGCTTTTTCACTCAAGGCTAGCACTCTACCACTTTGAGCCACAACTATACTTCTGTTTTGTAGGTGGATAATTGGAGATAAGTGTCTCATGGACTTTAGGTCCTATCCAAAGCTGACTTGGAACAGCTCTCAACCTCTGAGTAGCTAGGATTATAGGTGTGAGCCACCAGTACCTAGCCTTTGTTCAATTTTTGAAGCAGTTTATTATAAATGTAAAACTCTAGACATATATTGGTTACATTTCATTTCTCATTTCTCTTTTACAGTAACATATTACTTTTGCATAACTGTCAGTTTGTCAGTTTGCTCCCTTCCATTTTTCCTTTCTTTTCTTTTTCTTTTTTTGTTCTTGTTGTTGGTGGTGGTGGTCATGGGGCTTGACCTCTGGACCTAGGCGCTGTCCCTCAGCTCTTCAGCTCAAGGCAAGCGCTTGAGCCACAGTGCCACTTCCATTTTTCTGAGTGGTTTATTGGAGATAAGAGTTTCATGGACTTTTCCTGCCCAGGCTAGCTTTGAACTGTGATCCTAAAATCTCAGCCTCCTGAGTAGGATTAAAGGTGTGAGCCACCGGTACCCAGCTTCCCTTCCATCAAAAAAGTTGGCAGGGCAGGTGACTTTAACTTTAGGAGTACCTTTTCATTTGTTATTTAGATTCTTCAGAATTTTTAGCCCAAATACCACCTCTTGATTAGACTCCCTGAAGAATGACTGATCTCCTAGTAGTATGTGATGGGTCAGGGTAAGGGACTGGTCCTTGAGAACTCAGTGAACTAAATCAATCAGGTGTCAAGAGACACTCAAAAGTGTCTCATTAGGGAAAACAAAGAAGTGAACAACTAGTGCCAGTTACCATATGACTCTGGGAAATGAGACAGTGCTTTTAATCTCTAAGTTTGATGTTTTCAGCTCTGTTGTTGAAGAATTTAGGAAACCTCTGCAGGAACTGGGATTGTTTGTCTAGTTTCTTTTTTGTTTTTGGTTGGTTGTTGGGCTTGAATTCTGAGCCTGGGTGCTGTCACTAAGTTCTTCAGCTCAAGGCAAGTGCTCTACCACTTGAGCCACAGCACCACTTCCTGTTTTTTGGTGGTTAATTGGAGATAAGAGTCTCATGGTCTTTCTTTCCCTGGCTGGCTTTGAAGCACAAACCTCAGATCTCAGCCTTCTTAGTAGCTAGGATTATAGGCATGACAACACCCCTCCCTCCCCTGCGCCATCAAAAGATTTTTTATTGAGGCTGGTCTGGTGGCTCACACCTGTAATCCTACTCAGAAGCCTGAGATGTGAGGATCACAGTTCAAAGCCAGCCCGGGCAGGAAAGTCCGTGAGACTCTTTATCTCCAATAGACCACCAGAAAACCAGAAGTGGCCCTGTTGCCCAAATGATAGAATGCTAACCTTGAGCTGAAAAGCTTATGGACAGTGCCCAGGCCCAGAGTTGGAGCCCCACAACCGACCAAAAAAAAAAAGAAAAAGAAAGAAAGAGAAGAAAAGATATTTATTGAAAAAAAGAATTACGTATTTTTATTATTACTAGAAGGGTTCCAATAACATAGGTATAAATAAAACAAGGAGGCAAGAGAGTAAGAGAGGTTAGACACTAGCAGCTCTTCTTGTTTGATTACGCCAAGTCCCATCACTTTATCTCTTTCCTCTTTCTTTTGGCAGGTGGTGAGGATCCAGGAAAGCTGAGCCATGACATATTAAAGAATGGCCATACCACCCACATAGGGAGTACCAGATCTTCCAGCCTAGTAGAAGAAGAGGCAGTAAGAATATCAAGTCTTAAAGATCCTATTCCAGAAGAAGACCTAAAGAAGCGACTAGGTAAAATTGGAATTGGGGGGAAAAGGAGAGTCTCATTTTGTTGTCCAAGCTGGCCTTGAAGCCCTCTTGCCTCAGGAGGGCTTGCCATCAACCAAAAATTGTATTTTTGAGCTTAAAAGCCATGGACTAGGAGCTCAGACTGTGGCTTAGTGCTAGAGTGCTTGTGTAGAATGCATGAAGCCATGGGTTTGATTTCCTCAGAATCACATAAGCAGAAAAACCCAGAAGTGGCTCTATGGCTCAAGGGTAGAGTGCTAGACTTGAACAAAAGCAGTTTAGGGACATGGCCAGGCCCTGAGTTCAAGCTCCAGGACTGGGGGGAGGAGGGAAAAGCCATGGACTACATACTCTTAATTCACATACTTTGGGGTTCTGAGAGAATAGGGAAATAGAAATTCAAGAGGCAATTATGTTCTCCTTAAAAAACTATTTACCTATATACAACTTAAAGTAGAATATTCCTCCTTCTAATTCTGTTTTTTTTTTTTTTTTAATTACCAATCCTGGGGCTTGGACTCAGGGCTTGGGCACTGTCCCTGAGCTTATTTTTTTTTTTTTTTTTTGTCGGTCGTGGGGCTTGAACTCTGGGCCTGGGCACTGTCCCTCAGCTCTTCAGCTCAAGGCGAGCGCTCTACCACTTGAGCTACAGCGCCACTTCCGGTTTTCTGGTGGTTTATTGGAGATAGGAGTCTCACGGTCTCTCCTGCCCGGGCTGGCTTTGAACCGCGATCCTCAGATCTCAGCCTCCTGAGTAGCTAGGATTACAGGCGTGAGCCACCAGCGCCCGGCTCCCTGAGCTTCTTTTGCTCAAGGTTAGCACTCTACCACTTGAGCCATAGAGCCAATACAAGCTTTTTCTGTTTATGTGGTACTGAGGAATTGAACCCAGAGCTTCATACATGCTAGGCAAGCACTCTACCACTAAGCTACATCCCCAACCCTCCCTCTAATTCTTTTTTTTTTGGGTCCGGTCGTGGGGCCTGAACTCTGGGCCTGGGTGCTGTCCCTCAGCTCTTCAGCTCAAGGCTAGCACTCTACCACTTGAGCCACAGTGCCACTTCTGGCTTTTTTCTTTATGTGGTGCTGAGGAATCGAACCCAGGGCCTCAGGCATGCAAGGCAAGCGCTCTACCACTGAGCCACCTTCCCAGCCCCCCTCCCTCTAATTCTTATATTCACAAAATACATAAATTTGTGGGGTTTTTTTGTTTTTGGTCAGTTGTGGGTGCTGTCCCTGAGCTCTTCAGCTCAAGGCAAGCACTCTACCACTTGCGTCACAGCTGCCATTTCTGGTTTTCTGGTGGTTAATTAGAGATAAGAGCCTCATGTACTTTCCTGCCTGGGCTGGCTTTGAACCATGATCCTCAGATCTCAGCCTCCTGAGTAACTAGGATTTTACAGTCATGAGCCACCAGTGCCTGGTAAATTTGTGATTCTTAAAGAGGAAAATATTGGTCTGACAACGTGGCTTAGTGGTAGAGTGCTTGCCTAACATGCATGAAGCCCTAGCATGCATGGAGCCCTGGGTTCAATTCCTCAGTGCCCTAGCATGCATGGAGCCCTGGGTTCAATTCCTCAGTACCAAATAAACAGAAAAAGCTGGAAGTGGCAGTGTGGCTCAAGCGGTAGAGTGCTAGCCTTGAGCAAAAGATCAGGTTCAGTGCCCAGTCCCTGAGTTCAATCTCTGGGACTGGCAAAGAAAAAAAAAAAGGAAAATATTGTTAAATACTAGACTGCTGTGGGACTTGTTTCTTTTGGCCATGCTGGGAACTCAGGGCCTCATATTTGTTAGGCAGGCACTGTAGGACTTTTCCAAACACACTTGTTCTACCCAAGAAATTTGTATATATTTCCTTAGTAGCATTGCTCTGGTACAAATAATTGCCACTATAATTTGCCTCTTATTTTTTAATGATATTCCTTAAGAATGCTAAGGGTGGCAGGTGTTGTGAACTATAGCCTGTAAAACTGTAAATTAACTAATCTATGCAGTTGACCAGCAATCCATAGATGTATTAGCCTTTTCAGGCTCTTGTGTTACTCTTAACTTCCTTTTAAATGATATCTTTCATTACCCAGGCTCAACTGGAAGCCAGCCTAATTCTGAAGCAGAGTCCATTCCTGAGAATGTTCCCAAACCGCCTTTACTTCCCCCGAAAAGACCCTTGTCGTCTTCTCATGAAGCAAGTGAAGGACAAGCAAAAGACATCACTTGTGGCAGCACAGCCAGATCCACCTCCTCCACCTCTGCCTCCTCCGCCACCATAGCACCTGCTGCCACTACTGCTGCCACAAACCTAGCAAAGACTGTCAATTCTTTTGCCACCCCTACCCCAGTACCCAGGACTCTGTCTGTCGCTCCTGTCAGTACTAACACTACTCTTGCTTCTAGCCTTACGAATATGGTCCCTGCCAAGCAGCCCCCAGTCCCTCCCCCCAAACCAGCTCACAGAAATAGCAACCCTGTCATTGGTAAGTGTCTAGGCTTTCATGTTTGGCGTTTAATTTAGGATGTTTATTTTAGTGAGTAACTAGTACAACACTGATTTGGTCTATGCAAGAGTTTTCCATTTCTTGTACCTTTGACTATCTTCTATATTGAGAAAAATTTTTTAAATGAGGCATATGACCATGAATGGAAACATCACCAAAATTAAGTTAAGATTTGAGATTAAAATCTATTTTTCTATGATAGTATTTCAGGATACTGTATATAGTTAGACTAGTGAAGACCATAACATATTTTACCTGCATAGAATTATCTGTGGCATTTACTGAGAAAATAAAAATTATGCCACAAATTACAATGGTCCTAGCACCAGTGGCTCACACATGTAATCCTAACTATTTAGAAGGCTGAGATCTGAAGATAGTGGTTCAAAGCTAGCCTGGCCATGAAACCCTTATCTCCACTAAACCAAGTGGCACTGTGGCTCAAGTGGTAGAGCACTGGCCATGAGCTGAAGAGCTGAGGGACAGAGCTCAGGCCCAGAGTTCAAACTCCATAACTGACCAAAAAAAAAAAAAATTATAATGGGCAAGACAAGCCTCAAATAAAAAGTTAGGGTTTATAGAACATCTGCTTTGAACTACCAGTGCTTTCCTTAAATGTAAACAAGTCTAGTAGATAAAAAGATGATTTTGTGGATGCCTGTGTAATTTAGGATTCAGTACTTGGCACTGTAGCTTCATGAGAATTGCAAAAGGTATTATTTAAATTATTCTGATAAAATCATGTTTTATCCTCAGAGAATTAAGAATGATAGTCTTTTTATGGGGGGAGGGGGGCCTGGTCGTGGGGCCTGGACTCTGGGCCTGGGCGCTGTCCTTCAGCTCTTCAGCTCAAGGATAGTGCTCTACCACTTGAGCCACAGTGCCACTTCCAGTTTTCTGGTGGTTAATTGGAGATAAGAGTCTCACAGACTTTCCTGCCCAGGCTGGCTTTGAACCATGATCCTCAGATCTCAGCCTCCTGACTAGCTATCCTTTTAAGAAGTACAGTTTTTTGGGGGGTGGGGGGTCGGGTCATGGGTCCTGAACTCTGGGCCTGGGCGCTGTCCCTCAGCTCTTCAGCTCAAGGCTAGCACTCTACCACTTGAGCCACAGCGCCACTTCCAGCTTTTTTCTTTTTGCTTATGTGGTGCTGAAGAATTGAACCCAGGGCCTCATGCATGCAAGGCAAGCACTTTACCACTGAGCCACCTTCCTAGCCCCAAGAATGATAATCTTATATTAAAATAAGTGATCACAAAGAAAACCAGGAATTGTAATTTTTTTTCATTTACCTGAAATCGTGTTTAGGTCTCTTTTCTTTATATAAATGTGTGCCATTTTAGAGCAATTTTCCAAGAAAAGGAGAGTCAAGAGGGAAAGCTCATGCATATTTCAGAGGTAGTGAGAATTTAGTTTCTCAGAAAAGTGATACTAAGCTTATTATTGCTTAAACTTCTTGTTTTTGATTGAATGATTGAAAAAAATGTGCTCATTAAAAATCTAATACTACCAAGTTGGGTGGAGTGACTAACCTTGCAAAACAGGTTCAGAATATATTGTATGACAGGTTGGAGTAGCTTGATTAAAAACAGGATGAAGATTAGTGTTATCACCACTTTGGATGGATAATGTCTTGTTGACTTATCTCTGAGGAATGTGAGGAGCTTTCACATACTTATTTTCAAAACTACTTTTTGCCACAGGAAACCGATTTTATCAGTTATATACATAGAGCAATTAGAACGTAGAGCTGTAATGACTCATGCAAGGTTGGAGTTAGGGAGAGACAGAAACTCAGCTGTCAGGTCCAGATTTCCATTTTTTTCTCTATACTAAGATTCTCAAAGTATAGTCTAGCACTTTTAACAGACAGAATTTTCAGCTTTTTTTTTTTTTTAGTCAGTCGTGGGGCTTGAACTCTGGGCCTGGACGCTATCCCTCAGCTCTTCAACTCAAGGCAAGTGCTCTACCACTTGAGCCACAGCACCACTTCTGGTTTTCTAGTGGTTTATTGGAGATAAGAGTCTCTGGGACTTTCCTGCCCAGGCTGGCTTTGAACTGTGATCCTCAGATCTCAGGCTCCTGAGTAGCTAGAATCACAGGCATGAGCTACCAGCGCCCTGCTTTTTCAACTTTTGTTATTGTTGTTGTTCATACAGCAACATAAAGTTGCAAGTTTATCTATTGTCAAAGTAATTAAATAAAATATCAGCTTTCTAGTCAGGCAACAGTAGCTTATACTTTTATTCATTAGGCCTTCTATTGGATAACTGTAAATTTTTTCCTGGAAGATTAAGACTAAATTCATTCTGATTTCAGTCTGATGCTGGCCCCTCAATGCATTATAAAGCCATGTTAACTTGAATTGTTGCTCTCTTTTCCAGCTGAACTATCCCAAGTCATAAACACTGGCACATTGTTATCAAAGCCATCCCCACCCTTACCACCTAAGAGAGGCATTCCATCAACTGTGGTACCCACCTCAGAGTCTGCCACTGCCATCACCACAAAAACACCAAGTGATCAAAGAGAGAAGAATGCATTATCTGTGAGCTCTGAACCACTGATGATGGTCCCACCTTCCTCCCCATCTCCTCCACTGCCTACTCATATACCTCCAGAGCCCCCGCGGTCTCCACCATTCCCTGCTAATAAGACTTTTCAAGTTGTGCCAGAAGTTGAGTTTCTACCTTCTTTAGATCTATCCCAAGAGGTTGCCCAGCAGGAAGACCAGAAAAATGAAGTCCCCAAAAGGACAGTGGACCAGAGATTTGGGGAGCCCCATATACCCCCTAGGCTGCCCCCAGTCCCACTTCATATTCGAATTCAGCAAGCCCTAACTAGTCCCCTTCCTGTGACTCCTCCCCTTGAGGGCTCTCACCGAGCTCACTCATTGCTCTTTGAGAGCAGTGACAACTTTTCTGAAGACAGCAATACCCTGGGTCGGACCAGATCACTTCCTATCACTATTGAAATGCTGAAAGTGTGAGTGCTTTAATGGTTGCCTCTTGTTTCTCTTTCTTTACCATTAGGTAGCCCTAATTGGGAAAAAAAAAAAAAAGTTAGAAAATACAAGTGAATTTAAAGCATTCAAAGAATATTTTGTCCCAGGCACCAGTGGCTCACGCCTGTAATCCTAGTTACTCAGGAGGCTGAGATCTGAGGATCTCAGCTCAAAGCCAGCCCAGGCAGGAAAGTCCATGAGACTCTTATCTCCAATAAACCACTAGAAAACCAGAAGTGGTGCTGTGGCTCAAGCGGTAGAGCACTCGCCTTGAGCTGAAGAGCACAGGGACAGAATTTAAGCACCATGACTGATACAAAAAAAAAAATTTTTTTTTTGCTAAAAGGGATGGGTTCTATGCTAAGCACTCAAGGTGGCTCACATCTATAAATCCTGACTACTCAGAAGGCTGAGATCTAAGGATTGTGGTTCAAAGCCAGCCCAGGCAAGAAAGTACATGAGAATCTTTTTTTGTTGTTGTTGTTGTTGGTTGTGGTGCTTGAACTCTGGGCCTGGCACTGTCCTTCAGCTCTTCAGCTTAAAGCTAATGCTCTACCACTTGAACCCCAGAGCCACTTCTGGCTTTTTCTGCTTATGGGTACTGAGGAATTGAACCCAGGGCCTCATGCATGCTAGGCAAGCACTCTACCACTGAGCCACCTTCCCAGCCCCACTTGAGACTCTCATATCCAATTAATCACCAAAAAGCCAGAAGTGGAGCTGTGGCTCAAGTGGTAGAACCTTGCCTTGAGGCATAAAGCTCAAGGACAGTACCCAGGCCCTGAATTCAAGCCCCACAGGACCTACACCAAAAATTTTTGGACTTTTTTTTTTTTCTAGAATTTGGACTTTTTTATCCTACTGGATTTTTTTTTTGTGGCCATTATACAAGTTTATTTTTACCAAATGTTAGATATGAAAATGTACATGGCCAGGGGCTGGGAAGGTGGCTCAGTGGTAGAGTGCTTGCCTTGCCCTGGGTTCAATTCCTCAGCATCACATATGCAGAAAAAGCCAGAAGTGGCGCTGTGGCTCAAGTGATAGAGCACTAGCCTTGAGCTGAAGAGCTGAGAGACAGCGCCCAGGCCCACAACAGGCAAAAAAAAGAAAAGAAAAGAAAAAATGTACATGGCCAAACCTTGGGAGACAAACCCTTGGGAGAGAAGACTTGTATTTCTCTACTAAACAGTCATTACTTAAATTTGTTTCAAGGCTTCCTACATGATAGTACTGTTCCTTGTCTTGCCAACATTCCAATATTGTTCTGTTGCCCACTGATGCCATTTCCATACACTAGTCTCGCACAAGATTCATAAATGGACCAAATCTCCACAGCCTTTCTTTGGACATATCTACCACCATTTAGTTTCTTTTCTTTTTTCTTCTTGTTGTTGTTGTTGGTCATGGGCTTGAACTCTGGGCCTGGGTGCTGTCCCTGAGCTCTTCAGCTCAAGGCTAGCACTCTACCACTTCTGGTGGTTAATTGGAGATGAGAGTCTCATGGACTTTTCTCCCTCATCTGGCTTCTAACTATGATCCTCAGATTTCAGCCTCCTGAATAGCTAGGATTATAGGTGTGAGCCACTGGCACCAAGAGATTCTTCTCTCCAGTAAAATAAGCCAGAAGTGATGCTGTGGCTCAAGTGGTAGAGCACTAGCTTTGAACAAAAAGCAGCTCAGGAATAGCACCCAAGCCCTGAGTTCAAGCTTGAGGACCAGGAAAAGAAAAAAAGATTGTTAAGGAGAGGGATTTATAAGTTTTATTAGTGTACTTTCCATAGATACTTCACATACTTTGTCTTGCATTTCCATCCTCATTGTTTCTGAAAATAAAATTATGTTAATTTGTTAGTCCAGATGATGAAGAAGAGGAGCAAACCTGCCCATTGACACTTGTTGAAGATACAACATCTACCTCACCTATTCCTAAATTACCACAGTGTCTGCAAGAGGAAGAAGAAGAAAAAGAGAGTGACTCAGATTCAGAGGGTCCCATTCAGTACCGAGATGAAGAGGATGAGGATGAAAGCCATCAGAGTAAGAAAGAGGGGAACAGCAAAAGAAACAGTCCTGTTACAGCTAAAGCTACATGCTGGTCTTAGCAAGTACAAGATGGATGGAAACAGACCCCCTCTTCCACTGAGTTTTCTAGGTGTTGGAAGCTCTATAGAGTACTAGCTCCTGCTATTATACCTCTGTTGAAATAAGCCATGAGTGGGAGCCACATGAGTGGGAGTGGGTCATTCAAAAAAAATTTTATTTGTAAACTGTTCACCCAATCGTGGGAGTATAGGTCAGCCACAGAGCACATGGTTAGCATACATAAGGCTTTGGATTTAATTCCCAGCACCAAAAAATAAATAAATAAATTCACCTTGATGATAGATATTAAAGAATATTGAGTAGAGGAAAACTGGTACATGAGCTAAATTGAAAAGACAGAAGTGATACCTTGTTTCAACATAATGAACTTATTGTCATAGGACAAAGAAAAAATGTTTATGTCTACGGTCTTTGTGAATAATGGTATTATGATTCAAGAAGTGGAAATGCAGCTTTAAAAACACATTAGGGGGGCTGGGAAGGTGGCTCAGTGGTAGAGCACTTGCCTTGCATGCCTGAGGCCCTGGGTTCGATTCCTCAGCACCACATAAGCAAAAAGAAAAAAAAAACAAAACATTAGGGGCTGGGAAGGTGGCTTAGTGGTAAAGTGCTTGCCTCACATGCATGTAGCCCTGGGTTCCATTCCTCAGCACCACATAAGCAGAAAAAAACAGAAGTGGCACTGTGGCTCCAGTGGTAGAGCACTAGCCTTGAAAAAAGAAACTTAGGGACAGTGCTCAGGCCCTGAATTCAAGCTCCAGGACTGGGGGAAAAAGAGAAGTGGAAGTATGGCTCAAATGATAGAACACCAGCCTTGGGTGAAAAAGCTAAGAGACAGCACCCAGGCGCACTAGTACTGACACACGCACGCACACACGCACGCACGCGCACGCGCGCACACACACACACACACACACACACACACACGAAAGGAGAGACAAAAAGGAAAGGAATCCAGGCACTGGTTGCTAAAAACTGAGGATTGAGGTTCAAAGCCAGGCAGACAAAGGCCCTGTGTTGAAGCACTAGTACTGGCACACACATGCACACACACATACAGTAGCTAGAGTGCATGTCCCTGAGTTCAAGCCCCAATATTATTTGAAAGCTTTTATGCTTTAATTCTGATGCCTGTCCCAAGCCTAACAACTCTAAAAGGAAAATCTAAAAGGCTGGTGGAAGAGGGAAGAAGATCCCTTGCCTGTCTGAGTCATCTTGCTGATGACTTGTGGATGACTTCAGTTTTCCCACCTCCTCCTGTGTTTAGCTGAATTATTTATTACGTTAATTATTATTTATTTAATTAATTTTATTAGTATTAGAGATTAAACGAAGGACTTTGTGCTTGCTAGACTGTATTCTACAAGTTGAGCTACCTCCAGTCTCCTGACTGAATCGTAAGTGGGAAGCTGGATTCATTCAGATTCTTGCCTCACTCTATATTAGGTCAGGCTATTGGTAGCTATTGGCTTTGTACTTCTTCATTTTGTTCTCCCCCTTGTTTACAGGTGCTCTGGCTAACAAAGTGAAGAGGAAGGACACACTGGCAATGAAGTTGAACCACAGACCCAGTGAACCAGAGTTGAACTTGAATTCTTGGCCTCATAAAAGCAAGGAGGAGTGGAATGAAATACGGCACCAGATTGGGAACACACTGATCCGGTAGGCCTTTGCTTAGATGGGCTGAGTTTGATTGTGCTGGAATGTATGTTAGACATTTTGTGGGAGATAATTTATTTATCATCTTTTTTGTTTTTATTTTTGTCAGTCATGGGCTAGAACTCTGGGCCTGGGTGTTGTTCCTGAGCTCTTCAGCTCAAGGCTAACACTCTACTACTTGAGCCATAGCACCACTTCCAGTTTTCTGGTGGTTAATTGGAGATAAGAGTCTCACAGACTTTCCTGCCCAGGCTGGCTTTGAACCATGATCCTCAGATCTCAGCCTCCTGAGTAGCTATTATCCTTTTAAGAAGTACAATTTTTTTTTTGGAGGGGGGGGTCCAGTCATGGGGCCTGAACTTTGGGCCTGGGCGCTGTCCCTCAGCTCTTCAGCTCAAGGCTAGCGCTTTACCACTTGAGCCACAGCGCCACTTCCGGCTTTTTTGTTTTTGCTTATGTGGTGCTGAGGAATCAAACCCAGGGCCTCATGCATGCAAGGCAAGCGCTTTAACACTGAGCCACCTTCCCAGCCCAAAAAGTACAAATATGCTCTAAGAATTTGGAAATTTAGGAATTAGAAATCATTGAGTAAGATACATGGTTTTGCAAAAGTTGCTAAAGAAGTCAGGATAATTTCTGGGACATTAGGAAGCCTCTGCTGTCACTTTTTTTTTTTTTTTTTTTTTTTTTTGGGGGGGGGGTCCAGTCGTGGGGCCTGAACTCTGCCTGGGCGCTGTCTCTCAGCTCTTCAGCTCAAGCCTAGCGCTCTACCACTTGAGCCACGGCTTTTTTCTTTTTGCTTATGTGGTGCTGAGAAATCAAACCCAGGGCCTCATGCATGCAAGACAAGCAACCTACCACTGAGCCACCTTCCCAGCCCCTTTCACTTTTTTTTTTGGTCAGTCATGGGGCTTGAACTCTGGGCCTGGGCGCTGTCCCTCAGCTCTTCAGCTCAAGACCAGCACTCTACCACTTGAGCTACAGCGCCACTTCCGGTTTTCTGGTGGTTTATTGGAGATAAGGTATCTCCTGCCCTGGCTGGCTTTGAACTGCGATCCTCAGATCTCAGCCTCCTGAGTAGCTAGGATTACAGGCGTGAGCCACCAATGCCCGGCCATCCTGTCACTTTTTTTTATCCAGTTGCTAAACCATGAAATGCCAACCCAGTTACTCACACTTAACTTTTCTTTTTGCGTATTCCATTTTTTCCTTTGTAACTGCTTCCTTTCAAAATGTTAGTGTAGTTCTCAAGTCAGCTGGAACCAAATTATAGGAAACTAAATGCTGGCCAGCTTCCCGCATATACAACACTCATTAATAGTCCAGTTGCCATGACAGGTGTTTTTGCTTGGTACAGACAATTCTCACAAGGGAAAGAGTAAAAAGATAGACTTCTTGCCCTACTCCCTGTGAATTAATTAACTGAAGGTATCCGTTAATTAAAATACATTATTTCCTCACTTTTTAACATCAGGCTTTACTGTGTATGTTGCATATAGAGACAAGTATGGCCCTTTTTTCTTCCTGTAAACAATTTTTGGATCCTAAAACCATTCTTGGCCACTTCAACACAAAGATTACTTAGTCTCTATGACCTGTGATCTGACAGCTGTTGAAATTCAAGGTAATTAGAGAGAAAGGATATAGAGGCCTCGTCTTACTCTGACTGTGTTCCTAACCCACATATTTCCAGTCCGGACATTGGTTTGTTAGATGTTCTTTGTGGCACCAAAACTTCTAGACTGGCCCTTTATATTTAAGATTTTGAGATTTGGTATTTGTATGTGGATGTATTCTTTTCTTTTTTTTTTTTTGCTGTGCCGGGGCTTGAACTCAGCAGGACTCTGTCCTGAGCCTCTCTGCTCAAGTCTAGCTCTCTACCACTTGAGCCACAGTGCTACTTCCTGCCTACTCAGGAGGCTGAGATCTAAGAATTGCATTCAAGGGGCTGAGAAGGTGGCTCAGTGGTAGAGCGCTTGCCTTGCATGCATGAGGCCCTGGGTTCGATTCCTCAGCACCATATAAACAAAAAGAAAAAAGCCAGAGTGGCTCTGTGGCTCAAGTGGTAGAGTGCTAGCCTTGAGCTGAAGAGCTGAGGGACAGCACCCAGGCCCAGAGTTCAGGTCCCACGACCGGACCCAAAAAATAAAAATAAAAAAATAAAAAAAAGAATTGCATTCAAAGCCAGCCCAGGCAGGAAAGTCCACTTATCTCCAATTAACCACCAAAAAGCTGGAAGTTGGCACTGTAGTTCAAGTGGTAGAGCGCTCACCTTGAGCTAAAGAGCTGAGGGTCAGCATTCAGGTCCAGAGTTCAAGCCCCATGATGGGCAAAAAAAAAAATTTTTTTGAGGGCTGGGAAGGTGGGTCAGTGGTAGAGTGCTTGCCTTGCATGCATGAGGCCCTGGGTTCAATTCCTCAGCACCACATAAGCAGAAAAAGCCAGAAATGGCATTGTGGCGCAAGTGGTAGAGAGGAGAGCTAGCCCAGAGCTAAAGAGCTGAGGGACAGCACCTAGGCCCAGAGTTCAGATCCCTCAACCAACAAAAACAAAAAAATTGAGCCTGGTGCCAGTGGCTCAACCTACAATCTGGATTTGAGTCTAAAGTAACAGTTTGTATTAGTTATCATAGCCCTTTGGTTCCCTTTAATTAGAAGAAATTCCATAGCTATTTTTTTTGTGGGGGGGTCCGGTCGTGGGGCCTGAACTCTGGGCCTGGGTGCTGTCCCTCAGCTCATCAGCTCAAGGCTAGCACTCTACCTCTTGAGCCACAGCGCCACTTCCGGCTTTTTTCTTTTTGCTTATGTGGTGCTGAGGAATCGAACCCAGGGCCTCAGGCATGCAAGGCAAGCGCTCTACCACTGAGCCACCTTCCCAGCCCCCATTTTGTTTTCTTTTAAGACATTATCATTTTTTTTTTAGATTATAGGCCACAGGGCTGGGAAGGTGGCTCAATGGTAGAGCACTTGCCTTGCATGCATGAGGCCCTGGGTTTGATTCCTCAGCACCACATACGCAGAAAAAAAAAAACAAAAAATAGCCAGAAGTGGTGCTGTGGTTCAAGTGGTAGCACGCTAGCCTTAAGCTGAAGAGCTGAGGGACAGCGCCCAGGGCCAGAGTTCAGGCCCCACGACTGGACCCCGCAAAAAAAAAGATTATAGGCCATTTGTTTTGTAGAATGCCCCTAAATCTGAATTTTCCAGTTGTTTCCTCATACTAAGTTTCTGAGTGTTTTCACCTGTTCTCATTTACTTGCTTGTATTGCCCATGCCATCCCATTTCATCCCTTCACCCAGCTTCATGAGAGTAGGGAACTTACCTGTTCTGTCCACTATTCAGATTGCCAGTGTCTGAGGGCAGTTTTATACTGACCTTTGGAACACATTTGCATAGTTTTAGTCACTGTAGGGGGAAAACAAAAATAATTTTTCTATCAGAATAAATTTGCAAAGCTTTTTTTTTTTTCCCCTCGTGTAAAAATAAAGAACTTTTGGGCTTCATGGTCATGCTGAGCAAGACCTTTCCTCTCCCATGGTTTAGCAGTGGTCATCAGGCTTCTTGTCCTGCCTGAGAAGCTGCCTGCACTTTAAGCCTACCACCTGGCCTCTCCATTTAAGAGCTCATGGCTGAGGTAATGGCATGCATTGCTTGAATCACTATTCTAGTTCATCAAACACTTCTGAAGTCATACAGATACTGTCTGTTTTCTCCTTTTGTTGGTCCTACAAGACCTAGTAAAGCTATTAAAAATAAAATCCAGTGGCAAAAGACAAATTAGGCTGCCCAAGAATGTAGATACAAGTGGATTACCAGCAAAAAGATGACCAGAAATATCTGCTAAAAAGAAAGACTAATAAGTGAAGGTGTGGCTCAGGTTGTAAGAGTATATATACCCTTTGCCTAGAAGAGGGTTAACATTCATGTTTACTTTATTGATCATTGGGTTTTATTGATTATTAGAGCATCAACCTTGAGCAAAAAAGCCAAGCCAGAGAGCAAGACCTTGAGTTTGAGCCCCAGTCCCAGCACCAAAAAAAAAAAATTTTAAAGAAAGACTAATGTAATTTTCCCAAAAATCACAATTATTTTAACTTTGGGCAAAATGGTAAAAAGCACATTTTATTTATTTATTTATTTATTTATTTATTTATTTATTTGTCAGTGTGGGTATGAACTCAAGACCTGGATGCAGTCGAACCTCTTTGTGCTCAAGGTTAGCACTCTACCACTTGAGCCACAGCACCACTTCTGGTTTCTTGTGGTTAATTGGAGATAAGAGTCTCACAGACAGGCTGGGAAAGGCTTAGAAATGCAATCCTCAGATTTCAGCCTCCTGAGGAGCTAGGATTACAAGTATGAGCCACCAGCACCCGGCTTTAAAGTTTTTTTTGTCATCACCTCCATTTCCACTTTTGTGAGAAATCTTACAGTACTTTTTCAGTATTTGGCATCATAGCCCTTCCTTCTAATTAGTTGCTCTTCCTGGTAAAGTCATCTTCATCATTAGTAATGCTTATTACTAGTGCTGATTACTAATGATGAGACTTATCTGTTCATGCTCAAGACAGCTAATGCATGATTCTCAGTTTCAAATTGAACTTAGCTGGAGAGTGAGGAAACAAATGGGCCTTGCTGTCAACCTGATTGACAGCACAGAAAAGGGTTACTTGCTTCACCCTCTACCATACCAGATCCCATGCTCAGTTTCACTACCAGTGGCAAATAACTAGTTTGTTAATCCCACAGTGCATGTCTTGATTTTGTGAGTAGCTGATGCACAAATCCACAGAAACAGACTGAATTATGTTGCCCTTCTCTTTCTTTTGGGATCTAGCTGTCATAATTTGGTAACTAGTATTGGCCAAGATAACATTCTGCCAGAACAGTGGCCCTTTTAGAGTTTCAGCAAGAGAATATCAAGATTTGGGATTGAGCCAGGTACTAGTGGTTCACGCCTGTAATCCTGCCTTCTCAGGAGGCTGAGATATCAGGATCACACTTCA